GTGGAACGTCATGTCAATGTCATAGTTCAATGACGTCTGTGTACACACTTGCACCCGATTTGACATCCCATAGACACAGTGCACGACGCACCCATTCTTGACAGGCGAAGGTCGAGATCTCAGTGCACACAGATGTTTCACTCATGAACCTTATGACAGAAATACCGAATTTGTTTTTTCAAGTTATTGTACTGACAGTTCGACCGACGATGTCCACCGCATGCTCCACATTAGGGTGAGAACAGGGATGGTGACTTGTGCGTGAGCTAGCTTTTAGCAATAGTACACTTGAGCTGCATCTACCGCTCTCTCCTCCACCAGCTGGGCCCGATGTCAAGGACGCAGTCAAGAAGATCGGAGGCGAGAGGGGCCGCATGTGACTGGCACAGCGAAACTCGCACCTAGGCGTACCACCACACGCCTTCCGGCTCACAACAGACACTTGACTGGAGTTCTAAACAAAAGAAATGGGAGGGAGCGGCTCGGATCCCAATCGGCGCGACGTGAGCATGCACCTAGGCCTGCCACCACACCTCGAGTGTTGTTATGGGTGCGCATTCCCGATAACGCCTGCCAGAATCGAATGTGGTCCTCGTGTTGGTCCAGCCCATCTACCGCATGACCCGTTTTAGGGGTTCAATTACTGTGTCGCCATGATAGGGAAACCATAGGAGGTTAGTGTCTCATGGGAAAGTGTCTTTATCTCGCCAAAGGACTTCGTTCAGTTGGGATGTGACGTGTCGAAACAATTCGTGGGCGCGTTTACGGTGGTACATAAAGGCCTGCACAAACTCAAAAAATCTGAGTTGCTAAGATTCCAAATGCTTCAGTAGACTCGGATGGTTAGACAGTATATTTCTTTTCAGGCAAAGTTCATTGATCTATCTTAATTGGAGGATAGAACCTTGATGAAAAAACAGACGAGACTGAAATGGCCTTGTCTGGTTCATTTTCACAACCAATCTGCCACACCGCCAAGTCCATGGCAAGAGAACCCGGATTTTGACCTCATTCTTCCTGAAATCCTGCATGCTGTAGTTGTAGAAAGATCTGTTTCATTAGCTGTCGTCAGTGCCGTATTGAGAACAGACAGCTCCTCCCAGGCTTATAGTTACCACAATGTGCATTGTTGTATCCAGCTGGTCAACGCTTGGAATTCTTCACGCCCTCCTCGCCAGTGCTACCGTATTTGGCCCCTGTTGACATTCCCCTTTCCCCTTTTTAAAACCCTCTTTCGAGCGTGATCGGCGTTCTCTTAATTAACTAGTTTTTGTATTCCGACATTGAGCTGGAAATTCGATTTGCTCGAACGGTAACAAAGGAATTCTTTGTCTAGGGTATCCATTGTTGAGGTTTGTACGTTTTTTATTATTACCTTATTCTATCAATAATACCGTATATACATCGAAATCTGTTTTGGCTTGCACGCGTGACTCAGTAGACGAAGAATTCAAGAGTACTCAACATTGTATCATAAATTGGAGGAAAATAATTTCATCAAATGCAGACGCGTTCGATGAAGAATAAATCGGACGGTAGGGAACAGTCTCTCGCACTATAAAATCCAAGGGCCTTCGAAGGACAAAGAGAGCTGAAGAAAAACGTCCAGTCCGGTTCTTGTAAGAACATTTCTATTAGTAGTCGTAGTTCCAGTAAAACAGTTAAAGCCTTAAGAATAGCCGAAATAGAAGAGAGACGAGTTGAACGTGAGGTCGACCTCTAACGGGCTATTTCTGATGTCGAGGAAGAACCGAGCTTGCTAGGATAGAGGTAGAGACCGATGAAGAGATGTCCGATGACGACCGTCAACCCGTGGATTCCGTCGCACATGTCTCGGGATATTTGGAACAATGCACATTGAATGAAATTCCTCCTGAAGAGGGAAATCATTGCCAATGTCAGAACGTTGATATGTCCAAAGCCAGTGCTAGGAGCCTGCCAGATGCCGGTTTAGAACTGCCCAAGGTTGAGTTGTCCTGGTTTGACCGGAACCCGATTCATTATTGGAGGTTTATACGACAGTTTGAAGTATACGTGGAGAGAAAAGTTGAAGATGCTGGACAGAGGCTTCTGTACTTAATTCACTACGGCAGAGGTGATGCGAGGGCGACCATAGAAGAATGCGTCATGCTGACCTCGCTGTTGACTCTTTCAAGAGCACGGAAAATATTGAGCAGCTTATTTGACCAGACACATGTAGTGGCTAATGCTCTTATTGACGGTGTCTTCAGACAGGCACGCCAATTTAATCAGACCGCAAAGGCACTTTCAGATTTGTGCACAAAAGTGAAAAATTGTGAACTCGTGCTCACGCACATGAATTACGTGTCCGACCTACAATCGCTGAATGTCCTAGAGCGAATAGTGCGATTTTTACAGTTTTTTTTTAATGCAGATCCAATGGGCTGAAGTTGCTGACAAAATATCTATGAATGGTAGAGATCCGGATTTTGCAGACCTCACGGAATTCGTAAATACTCGAGCTAGGAGGGCAAGAAGTCGTTTCGGACAAATATCTCGAGATGGGGATGTCAAGCGCCCTCAACTGCCCTTACTGCCACAGCCCAACATCAAACACGGGAGAACCTTAACAATATGGTATTTTGAGTGTCGAACCAGACCGACGGCCATGCTACATGCCCACGTTTACTTTCGATGGGTGTTGCAGGTCGGTGAAATTGTCTGCGGCCAAGGTGTGTAGCTCCAGAGAACTTTGTGGTCAGTCCGGGTGCAAAAAACGACATCATACACTTTTGCATGTAATGTCATCGGAAAATAATCAACAAACATTACATGATGAAGGACTTTGTCCCCTGACTGGAATTACGCATGTACCATCACGACTGGGGGTTATTCCTGCCGAGTTGGCAACTCCAACAGGGAGCGTCGAAACTTACGCATTTTTGGACAGTCGCTTGGATGTCACTCTGATTAAACGAAAGCTTCTCGTCGGAAATGGAGTGTTAACAACGCCAACGACATTGACAATAAACACCTTAAGCTGCTCAATCAAATGCAATTCGGAAGTCAGAGGTCTAAGGGTGCCGCCCATGAATGGAACCGAGTCAACTGAGATTGAAAAGGCTTTGGTGGTTGAAGACTTGCCACTCCGTGCAGAATCGACAATTAAAAGGATAGCCTCTTCATGGTCACCCCTGAGCGGTATAATGTTTGACGAGCTCACTGATTGTGAGGTTGGCATACTCATTGGGAATGCTGTCGCGAAAGCTCCTTGGGTACTTGGCCAACGTCTGGATAGCAAAAGGGAACCGTTCTCCGTTAAAACACTGTTGGGCTGGATGCTGCTTGGATCTTCACGTGGCAGGCAAAAACAGAACGCTGTCTGTCACTGAATTGTAAATCAAGAAAGGGAGGTGACGCACAACATTAAGAGGCTATACGACTCGGAGTTTTCGGACACTTCAACAACAACTGCAAGTCACACATTGGAGGACAAACGGGCACTGGCTTTTGTGCGATCCTCCGTTACAATCATAAAAGGGCTTTACCAACTGTCCCTCCCTTGGCGAAACAGTACGCTGAATTTACCGGACAATTTTCGGTTGGCGTGTAAACGACTAATCCATCTCAAGAGTAAGTTGGGTCGAGAGCCCGAATTACGTCGGAAATATGAGCAAACATTCCCGCCCCGTTGTCAAGCCCCGAAAACAAGAAAAAAATTCGTGTTGTACTTGACTGTGCTGCCAAGTGTCAGAGCCTGTTTCTGAATGACAATCTATACCAAGGACCGGACCTAACCGCTAAGCTAGTAAGTGTTTTGTTGGCTTTCCGACTTGAGCGTATTGCAGTGGCAGGGGATATAGACGAAATTTTCCTGCAAGTGAGAGTTTACCCGATTGATCGACCTGCTCTGCAATTTTTGTTGTGGAAAAATGACGAGCTTGAAGGAGAGCCAGTTGAGTTTCAGTGGACATCTCACCCATACGCGTGACTCAATTTACCAAGAATTCTACGTGCATGATACTACAAACCCGTGAAATGTCTGATCTTGCAGCGCAAGTCAGGACAAACTCGGAGTCGCCACAACCCATCAGGAGGCGCATTCAAGGGTGGACCGATAGCCTTCGTAAGATCGACTAGCTACACAGGCGGAACAAAGAAAGTTCTCTCGTTGGCTCCGTTTACAACTCCTTCGCTCTAGTATTTATCGACTTTCGGTCGGGATGAGACTATTTCGTACTTTAATACAATGACATGATCGTTCTTCATGTAACAAAATTTTCGCATTTTGGTTGGTTGAAACGCTCTAGTAGAGAAACAAATTTCTAGGCATTACTGGCTTCGCTTGTCAGAAGTTCCGGTAAGACAGGGAATAAGAATCCCTTCCCCTTGCATTTAGACCAAGGCCATCTGTAGTATGAGGGATGGGGGATCCTGTTCCCGTGTCCTACCGGATATTCATCCGCTCTAATTTATTTGGAGAGAACAAGAGTAATCTAGCTGGGTTTCCGTAGATGGCTGTTAATACTTTGCCGACCGCACAGAGAAATTCAGCACGTAAAATAAGATTCAATTGGTCTGAACAGATGTTTTGAGGACAACCAGTGGTCTTCCACAGTCCTGTCTCGTAGATTCACCGCCAATAAATGACTACTCTTTATAGCTGTCGGTAGAATTTCGTTGCAGCGGCCCAAGGTGGTACCGCCATGGCACTTGGCATGAACCCCTTAACAGAATCACGCCGAGCTGACGAGTCACACGGACAATGCAGCGAATGCCTGACCACGCCAGCTGCGTCGGTGCGGCGACCAACGGTGAATGAAAGCGAGCGCACATGCTACACGACCGCCCACGACTGACTGATTGGATGGGTCGATATGAGTCGTCACTCTGATTGGTCCCCAGCCTAACCAATAGGAATGGTATAGCTGGAGACGAAACGCCAAAAGGAGCAATCGTGTGAAAGCCTATTTATTGCTGTGCGCCATGCGGCTGCCTCTGTTTTTGAGCTGATTGTTTACTCGTCTCTTTGCGCACAGATGGATTACCGTGCCGCGAAGTCCGGTTTTGCGCGCGAGGTTCAACAGCGAATTTCCGAAAAATACAATGCTGAGGATGCCGGCAAGGCTCTCCGGTGGTTCAGGATGTTACCCGTCCCCTCCGGTATGCCAGATGTGCTAAAGGAGGCCGCTGAAAAGATCCCAGCCGACATAAGCACCGCTCAACCGGATGAACTCCACGAATTTCTCAAGGATGGTCTTGCTCTGGGCTACCTTATCGGATGCCTAAAACCAGACGAAGTACAAACCCGGCTGTGCACAAAGTGTTGGACCGTCGCCTCCTCGCCCATATTTGAAACCAACCGTCAACGTGAACGGATCGGTGCCTTCTTAAAGTTCTGTGAGGAGGCTGGTGTCGGCTCAGCTTCTGTATTTCAGACGGATCAACTCTTTGAGAAGACCAACCTCCCTCAGGTTGTCATTTGTCTGACCCAATTGGGGATTGAGTCACAAGCAAAAGAGGGTTACCCTGGCCCTCAGGGGTATTGGCTACAAAAGCATCAGTCAAATAAGCGCACTTTCACAGAAGAACAGTTGAAGGGTGGGGATACGGTCATCGGTCTGCAGATGGGTTACGCTGGTGGGGCCAACCAATCAGGCGTCTCCTTTGGCGCCCGCCGCCACGTAATGGATATGCACTGACATTGCCTGTCCTCTCACCCACGCTTCCTTCTGCCTGGTCTTATGGTTCGCTTATTAGATTTTCTATTCCATGTATCATGTTTGGTCACAGAATATATATTTTATTTTACTCTCGGCCAGATTTACTGCCTTAAATCTTGTCCACGTGTGCGTGTATAATAAACACTCTTGAAATATTTTACTTTTGGAGACGTTGGATGACTAGGGCTGCAGTTATGATAATGGGAACAACATGAAATGCCTGCTAGAAGATTGCGGAGACAGACTGGCAAATGCCTACCTTTACACCTAGCATTACATCATGGTGTGCACGCTTGTCGGGTTTCTCTGCTCTTTCGGCAAGTCATTTCTTACTACCAAGCGATTTTAAGACTGACATGTGGCATTTCATTGCGCGTTGCCTTCTCCCCAGACTCCAGTCTACTTTGAACCATGTCATCTTCCACTATGGGCTTCCTTCACTTTTTATGCAGTGGGTGGTAGAAGAGGAAGCGCCTTTGTACGGTATTCCAGCTATAATCATGGTAATTTTCGGCGTGCTAATTCGGTTATCTCACAATTCGACGGGATTCCTTGATTGGGTAAGAGAAACAGGTAACCTTAGGACGTTGCGGTTGGTGAGGTTTGCATAGTGTAGAAGGAAGGCGCTTTATTCCTCAGCATACAGTCAAGCTGTGTCTAGGGAAGGGATAGGTCGGATTTCGGAATGGCCTATTTCTCTTCTCATAACGGTAAACGATCGGGCTCGAGCAGTATCATGGTCCAGTCAAATTATTTCTCCTGTCAGAACCAAGGTGGGTAGGCAAGGGTCGGAGTCGAAGTCGGCTTTCAACGTAAAGTGCAGATCTCAAACGCTGAGTAAGTCGGATGCCTGTAGGACCTTTGTGGAATGCCTGTCGCCGGGCTGGCGGCCGCAGCCTTGCAAGCCGGCTTAAGCTTGTAGCTCAGGTGGGTAGATCGTTGACTGTGCTAAAGCCTTCCCCCCCTGTCGTGGGTTCGAATTCCACCGAGGTGCCGAATTTTTTTACTGTGAATTAATCACTTGTGGAGGGAGAACCTATTGGGTCATCATCACGCGTCCCTCCGCATGATGTACGCTGCCCTGTAAAGTTCGGGGAGATGGGTTGTGCGTCTGGAAAAGTACCCCACAAAAATACCCGAGAGAGTCGGGGAAATGTCTTTTATTTTCCGAATGTAAAAAGGTGGGTGTCTTTGTCATTTCGGAGCCCCCCTCACCGAGTGACTCGTCGGAGGGGGAGGGGGGCGTTGTTAATCGTTTACAACCCAGTAACTCCCGCACATCTCTACTAGAAAATGTATCGAGGATCTACAAGACCAAGAAGCTGAATGTCGGTTTTTGTTTCGGGTGTCTTAAATATGAGCTGCTGAAGGATGTGAGATTATAATGACAACATTCCTTTCAAGCTCAGTGGCATGTCTAAGGGCCGGTGCGACAATCGAACTACATGGAGTATCCATGACGTACTAATCTGGTAGACGGTTAGTCCGTCTCTTTTTTCCCCATTTCCTGAAAGACGTAGTGCGGAATGTCTTGCTTGTGAAAGGCCCCTTAACTATCGGTCATCGAACGACCGAACACAGAGCACCCATATCAGAGAAAGCATCCTTTATTGGGTAAGTCATGGAAGTATCCGACTAAATACAGAGAGAATGTGCGCACCAAACATTTCCGTACACACGCCCGGACGTTTTTATGCGTGCACCTTGGCACTCAGGGCAGATGCCTGTCCATTAAACAGATTTTCAAGTCAAAACAACTGCCATCGCATGTAGTTGTAGCTCCTAACAAAGCAGAGGCATCCGAAATTAGTTACCAATGCCTTGTCCGGCAGTGAAATTGGTTTTGCCCATCGAGATGGAGCCAGACAACAACGAGCAGTTGACAAAAGCGGAAGAGCCAAGAACGACTAAATTAACCGCTAACGAGTGTGATATGGAAACCGGGAACGGGATGGAATCACGGCCTAAGGCGGAGGGAAGACTTTACCGCGCACGACAGAGCACGCGAAGCCGACGGAAAGATGCACGCGCGAGATCAAGCAGCCAATCAGCGCGTGGTGTATCATCGAGCCCACGTGATGCTGCCGCTCACGCGTGCGGCCCAACTAATTGTCGGTGGAGCATTCTAGATTTTTCCACGAGGGGATCCTCGCGCAGGAGGCGGCCAATTCACGACCAGCACACCAGAAACCGGAATTTTCTAGAACGCTCAGGAGTCCAAATAAATAAAGTGATTTGTAGACCAGTTTACGTCGGCTGTCAGAATAAAGTGGTTGTTCCCAGAACATACTCGGAGATCTGGTGAGATCGCGCCGAAGTTGACTTCCACTTCGGGGCCTGGCCTAAAATTACTTTGAAAACCAGTCCTGTTCACGATTTACTGCAGGAACTTTGGTCCAGTGATGTGAACCGGAGGGGGGGAGGATTACTTTCGCGATTTCTGTCAGTAGGAAACACTCAGAGGAACGATAGTCCAGATGCCCATTTTTTGGATACCTCGGACCGCTCCGCCTTCTTTCTGGTCGAAAGCAAGATCTTGGCTTCTACTGGCACTATAGGAGCAAAAGTGATTAAACCAGTTGTTTCGTCCAAAATGCCTCCTGTAAGACTGTTATCGAAATCAACCAATGTTTCCTCATGTTAAATGCAGTCATTTTGCTGTTGCGATGGTGACTCCTGCGTTAGACAGCCTTGGTATACGTATACATAAGTACAAATACTGTATGATCCGCCACTGACAACACAGATACTGCCTAAAAGCTCAGACATGTATGCCACCGGTTTCCTGCCGTTGCGTGACGCAACTGCGAGGGGTCCGGGTCACCAATAGGGCCCCCAACATTCCCCAGGCGCTTTATGGTATTTCCTCTTTTAAATCTGAGAACTAAAAGGGCTAGTTTGCAGTTAGTCCTCTGGAACCTATCTTTTCAAGCTTGGGGGGAAAGTCGGTGTTAATATTTGGATCGGATGTGGTTATATAGCCCCACATGAAGTTAACAAACCCCAGTCACCTCTAATATGGGACCGGTGATAATAGGAGTTATTACAGGTGGGGCTGGGGAACGCACAGGCGACGAGGGCGAGTAGTTGTATGCAAAATAAAAGCTATCGGGAACGCGCGGTTGTACTTTGAGTGGTTGAGAAGTAATCTCGTTAACTCCTAGCTCTAACCCCTCAACTATAACCCCTAACCATAACCCCAATCTCTAACTGTAACCCCTAACCCCACCCCCAAAAGTATTGTGTCCATCAGGTGGGGCTACCAAACCTCATCGTACCAATATTTGGGATGAACTTCATCACATTCAGCGGGACAATCGCGTAATATTCACAAGATACCAACGGTCAGTCAGTTGTATACAACTGTTGTATGACTCACCACGTGTAGTTTGCGCATGACGAGGTCGCTCTACATCGTGTCCATATTGTGCACGATTAACTCAACGAGGTTCTCGCCGGTGGACAGATTGGTCAGGGAGGACCCATGGCGCGGACATCTACAGTAGGTGTGCCATCTCATGAAGTGTTAACCAAAATTCTGGAATGTGTTTTCGATTCGATAATATTGCTCAAGTAGAGTTGTAATATGGATTACCGTGCAGCATAATTCTGAGGTATTCCACTTACGTCGAGACGCCGACTTTTGGACGAGATTCTTTCCAGCCGCCTACAAAAACTACGGCCTGTAAGAAAATGACCACTTAAATAGCGTGATTTTTTTCGCATTGATTTCGGATATATTTTGTAGAAAACGTGCAAAAATATTCTTCCTGACACTCATTTGGTAGCAAACTAAGTCTTATTAGGAGTACGTACTTGAAGAAAGAGTTTGCTTAGGTTTTGTACAATGTTCTTCGATTCCCGAATACTTTTTAGTGCGACCTAACGTTACACTTGCATTCAGAGTTTTCGAACTACACGCTGTGTACCTTCCGCATAGGGAAAACCATACATTCTATACGTTATTAAAAAGACCTTATGTAGGACACACAAAAATTTTATAATGAATGTGGACCGTATTGTCCACTTTATGAGCAGTGGTAATAAACTTGCTGATACGATGCTGTAACGTTGGAAATTTCACGGTCTTAAAAATCGCATAATTAGAAACATTTTAGAACCAAAAGATACTTTTCCTTCAATTATCACAGTAAAAGCCGTGATTTTCTACCAAATGAGTACCAGAAAATATTTCTATGTATGTTTTCCACAGAAATATATCGGAACATACATGGACATCGAAAATCGATGGGGAAAATGTACACTACTTATGTATTCAATTTTTTACAAGGCATGCTTTTTGCAGACGGCTAGAAAGAAGCTCGTTCAAGAGCCGGCATTCTGCCGTGACTGACATACCTTGGGATTACTCTGTGCGATAATTGGTATTGCAACCCTTCATAAGTAATCTTTTTGAATCGAAAGCACATTTCCGGATTTCGGCTAACACATCTACTGTATATCTTCTGATCAACTCCACTAGACTTCCTCCCTTGGGGTTATCAGACGATCGTCCAAAACTAAAATCAAATTGTCGTGGACAGTTTGTGCAGCGTCTTCCAATCTTGTCCAACTAGGATGTTGGTTTGTCGATAAAATCATGGACAATAGTTTGGACATCAGTTAGCGTTAACTTTCTGCCTGCCTTTCGCTTTTTAACGCTTTCACTTAGGGGGGTTAAGACAACTGACGCCTGAACTTTTTGCTTGTAATCAATTAAGCCAAAATAAGCGTAAAACCTCAGGACCATATTGATTGCAACAGTAGAGGGGCGTTCACCGATCGTTTCTACGGTTCTCACTCGCACCGGTGAGCGCCCTCTACCGTTGTATATTCCCGACAAGACAACGAGCTCGTGGCTCAGTGGTTAGAGGCGTTGGACTTCTAACTAACAGGTCGTGAGTTCGAGCCCCAGGTGTTCCACACTTTGGGGTTGAGTACGACTGGCTGACGACGGCTAATAAGCCAGAAATGGCCAT